GAGTAAAACCTGAATTAAGACCAGGTGCTCAGCTCTGATCATGACTTGACCAAATAGGAATTCCTAGTGTTTACTGAGGGCATGATCCAGTGCCTCCTGAAGTCAGTGAGGAAAGTCTGAATCATACCCTAGGTGTTTAGCACATCTCCAAAATTGCTTTAAAGTGATTAATATGATCTGAAGTGAATGTTTTAGTTATTCATTATTATTTTTAGTAGAGGCCCCAATCAAGGCATGGGACCCCATTATGCTTAGTACTGTATAAATACACAATCCCTGCCCCCAGAAAGACCCCTAGTCTAGGAGATAAATTTCAGATAAAGGTTCATTACTTAATATCAACAGGAAGACATTATAAAGTGTTGAATCGACTTTAGACACCATTTGAAAGGCATACGGTATAGACTGCTACAACCTGGAGAAAGCTGCCCTTTTTCTGAGTAGCAGTACACTCCGTTACGGGGGAGTGTTTCAAAGGCACAAGGGGAAGTTAGTTGCCCAACTTTCATTGACTTTCAGTTGTGTGCCAGACTCCCCTTTCTGCCTTTGAAAGTCTCTCCCTACCACTCTATTTTTAAAAGCTCTTTTTCAATGAATACTGGAGCGGAAAAGTTTGTCCTGAAATATCCTAATGATACAATATAGTTTTGCAGTGCACAGTCAGGCTGCTGTTACAAACCCCCCACTTCGAACTAAGATACGCAACTTCAGCTATGTTATTCACGTAGCTGAAGTCGAAGTATCTTAGTTTGAACTTACTGCGGGTCCACACGCGGCAGGCAGGCTCCCCCGTCGACTCCGCGTATTCCTCTCGCAGAGCAGGAGTACTGGCATCGACGGCGAGCACTTCCGGGATCGATTTATCGCGTCTAGACAAGACGCGATAAATCAATCCCAGAAGATTGATTGCTTACCGCCGGACCCGGAGATAAGTATAGACGTAGTCAAAGGGAAGTGAGTTGAGTTATACAAGCAACAACTTTCGCTGGGAGTTGAAGTAGAATTTAAGAATTTCCCTTTTTACCAATCCGATGATAATAGGTCTAAATGATTGTATGACTCAGTGAGTGTCAGATCTTAAAACATTCCAGGTCCGAAAACGCAAGTTTACAAGTCTGTGCAGAGCTGCATTCTCAGTATTGTCTCTACTCCACCCACAGCTAATTGTGGTGTCTGTTAATCACTCTTGAAAAGACTCATGGCTGGCCCAGATCAGCTGACTCGGGCTCAGAGGACTCGGGCTGCAGGGCTATAAAATTGCAGTGCAGATGTTCATGAAGGGGGAGGGTGCTAGAGCCAGGGCTCCAGCCTGAGCCCAAATGTTTACACTGCACTTGTAAAGCCCCACAGCATCAGCCCCACGAACCTGAGTCAGTTGACCCAGGGCAGCTGCAGCTGTGCTGGGGGTCTTTTATCGCAGTGTAGACGTACTCTCTGAGGTTTTCACCAAGCAGAGAGCTAGTAGACTGGAGTTCTGTTGAGCATGGCGAAATGCATGGAGTAAACACTTAATACATCCGAAACCAAAGAGGGGTTGTAGGAGTCTTGAAGTTTGTGCCTAAACTGGGAAATACCATCATGTTATAACATGTATTAGCCTGCACAATGTTAGATCTGATTTAGTACTTGATGTAGTGTCATAGGGCTGCCCCCCGCCTGGAGTGCTCTCTTGTGGCAGACTGCAGTATAACAAGCAGGCCTGCCTCAATTCCCCTCCTTCAGAGTCCCCAGAAATAGTCCAGAGTGTTCCCAAGTATAAATATAGCCCTTGCGGGGCTCATTTATTACAGAATCCCATGCACATAAATCAGAACAAAAGTCCCACAAGAATAGTCCAGACTGCCCCCAGCATAATCCAAACACTACAGGTAACATCCAGCCCCAGCGTCCCTCTCCAGGCCCTGGCTCCAGTAGTGTGATGGAGCTAAAAGACACTGGAACAGCGTTCCAGCTCCACTACACCACTGTGCCCCATTCCCTGCAGCCTGGGGACAGAGATGCTGCAGTTTAGGACTACACCACTGCCTGGCTCTCCAGCACAGCTCTGGTGTCCCTCACCATGCCCTAGCTATCCAGTATAACCCAGCCCTGTCCTTGTACCAGGACAGCCCTTCCAACTGGAATGTAACCAGGCTTTTCCCAATGGGAACCCCCCACAGCCTCTCTGCTGGGAACATCCTTGCCAGTGCACCTTCCTTCATTCTCCCTGACCCTTTCACTCTGGGCTAAGCTCTCTGGCCCTGAGATGTCAGTTGGTAAATTCCTCTGCTGCTCCCCTGCCTTCAGCTGTCTCCATCCCTGGTTCTCTGGCTTGGGAATAACAGCCAGCAAACCATTCTCACTGCTCTTCTGCCTTCAGCCTTTTCCCTGGTCCCAGACATACAGTCTCCTAGTTCATTCCTTCCTCTTCCCAGAAAGGGCCTGCAAAGATCTTTCTGCAACTTTCCCCAAGACTCCTCCAGTCTCCTGACCAACGCTCACCAGGACTCTCCCTCAGTAGGTCTCTCCCTGACCTTTTATAGCCCCCAGGTGCTGCCTCACTCTCATAATTGGCTAAATGGGAGCACCAGCTCTGGCACAGGGGAACTGGACCTACTTCATTTACTGGGGCCAGCCACCCTGTGACATATAGACAAAAGATTATTGGGTTTAAACTTGTGTCAGCAGGCAAGGTCTACCATGTGTTAATTAATGTGTATCTCCTTATGTAGAGAAGACCGAGTAATTATTCTTTTATTCTTCCCAATTCTTTTAGGACCCAATCCACCAAAGCACTTATGCATATGCTTAAATTTAAGCTTGTGAGGTGTCCTGTTGATTTAAAGTTAAGTATGTGCTTAAGGCCCTGATCCACAAAGTTAGTTAGGATCCTAACCTTCATTGTGTCAGTGAAAGTTAGGAGCCTATGTACCTTTGTGGATCTAGGCCTAAGTGCTTTGCTGGATCAAGCCCATAGTCTGAAAACCAAAATGAAATAGCTGTTGGAACATCAAGTGGAAGTGATCCATCGGGCTGATTCTGTACAGTAAGATAAATGATAGAATAATAAGGCAGCTTTAGAGAAGAAATCAGAGGTGAGGTGGGTGTTTTTATTAATCATTTGCCAGACATTTAAGACTATGTGCACTAAGGTTGTATATTAAGTGCCCTACTGGGGACTTGGGTGCACAAAAACGTGCATGCATAATGATAATTCTTTTTAGCTGTTCTAGGCATTTCAGTTGCACATTTGAAAGTAAAAGGCAAACTTTTCAAATGTGGATTCCCTAAATTTAGGCATCTCAATCTACATAACAAACCCAAACAAATGGCTTTATTTTCAGAAGTGCTGAGCACTTACCACACCAATTGAAGTCAAGCAAAGGGAAGTGCTGGGTGCTCAACCCTTATAAAAATCAGGCCACTTATTTACTGTTGTCATCTAACTTTAGGAACCCACATTAGAAGTTTTGGCCAAAAGATTTTACACACATTATTCTTCAGGCCTGTGGGCCAGAACTTCAGCTGAGGATCTGGCTGTTGTGTGTCTAATTCTTTAAAATGTGCAAATTTGAGAGAGACTCGGAGGGTGAGGTAATATATTTTATTGGACCAACTTCTGTTGGTAGAAGGTACAATCTTTCAAGCTTCATAGAGCTCTTCAAGTCTGGGGAACTAACCAGAGTGTCTGAGCTAAATATAAGTTGGGTTCTTGCATTTGCTCAGGAAGTAATGTTTAGTCTGGCTTCCTTCTCCTTCATATTGTGAAGTTTCTAGAAGTTGATCCAATAAAAGATATTACCTCATCTACGTTGTCTGTCTCATATCCTGGGATCAACATGGCCACAACAATGCGGCAGACAAACCTGTTTACTAAGTTTAGGAGACAAATTTTCTCTACAACCTTGCTGAAAAGGAATTCTGGTGCTTAAATAGGTAATTATTCCTCCAGGTCTTCCACTAATTTTTGCACTCTCATTCAAGTGCACAATAGGTTTACTCACTGGAAAGCATTAGCCATTGAAAATTTAAATTTAAATAATATGACCAAATTTGCACACCACATTTTGAACCTGCAACAGAGATGCATCATTTTGATAATCTTGTCCAAATTAAGAGGCTAGATTAATCTGTCTTTCAAGTTTTAGGGACAGATTCTTAGCTGGTGTAAATTACCCCTATTGAAACCACTGGGGCTATGTCAATGAATACTAATTAAGGAACTGGCCCTTAAAAATAAACTGAAAACTTCAATTAGTTATAGGAAAAGAAACAAGAAACTACTTGTGTTCATGTTCAGGAGACTTTAGGACTTGTTCTATAGTGGTATGACATTGTCCAACTAGACAGTAACTGGAATGAAGCCCATTAGCCAACTTACACATAACAGACCATCATTTCTCACTAATTCCAGTATGGATTTTAACATTACATACTTACAAAAATTGCTTGGAAAATGCCAAATAATCATCCATCCTATGCTGTAGTTCCTCATGAGTATCTGTGATATGTTGTCAATACCTATACATATGTTTGCACCATGATTTTGATAACTTTACATTATGCAACTGTTATACATGGTTGAGACATATTTAGTGTTAAAGACACGATTCTACCATCCTTACTCATTTTAAATAATACCTTACTTGCAAACAGTCCCAATGAAATCAAGTACGTATATTTCCCACAGTAAGATACCCTTACTCACATTGTGTAGTGTCCTACTGTGGGAAATATACTTGTTTCATGTAAGAATTGGAGGCCTTTTGAGCTATGCAAACACATGGGGTGAAATCCTGGCCCTATTGAAGTCAATGGCAAAACTCCCATTGGCTTCAGTAGGCCAGGATTTCATTCATGGCCCCTGCCCCCAAAGGCTTTTCATATTCCTTCTTTCTACTTCCTGTCAAACTTTATTGATAGAAAGAAGCCAGTATTATAGAACTGTATTGCAAACATAATCCCAGCTTTAAAAGATGAGCTTTTCTTCTTCCCCTTGTAAACATTTCCTTCTCATACAGACTGGGTCTGAACCATCCCCTCAAGGACAAGTGGAAGACGTTCCAGTGAGCAGTGAAAGAGCTGATGAGCCGGCTCGTCATGTCTTCTCTTTCTCCTGGTTAAACTCATTGAATGAATGATGACGATCATTCCGGCTGGCTTTGGATGTGCTTACCTGAGAGGAGCTATGAGGCAGCAAGTGACCTGGCTGGAACCAACAAGAAATAGTTCATATAAGAGACATCTTGATCAGGTTTAATTCCAAGGGCCTTATTTGAATTCCATTATACTGTATCTGATACTTTTAGATTAGAGTGATGTTTGGAAATAGCTGAATAAAGGGAGTGGGAAAACTGGACTAATAGATGTCTTGATGAAATACTATATTAAGTTTGACTGTGTGTTCAAGTAAAACCTGTTTCAGAAAGGAGAATGTTGAACAGAAGCTTCATGCTATAATTACAGTTGCAAAATTAGTGAGCACTATGATTGTCTGTAGCCAGCCTGGGTGTCCTGTTGTATTTTTGTAAGTGCTTACCCAACACTGTTAGTTGAAATATGACTAATGGCATCATTTGTCAATGAAAATATGAAAACCCCCTCACTACTCTTAATTACTCCAGTTGGAGTAACTCCATCTTTTCAACTTATTGATAATGCTTGTGGCAAATCCTTGACGAAAGCTACAAAATTCAAAGGTAAGTCTAAAACTCCACTCAACACAACCACTGTGCTGCATTACTCCAGCACAAGTGGTGCTACTGCATGCTGATGTGTAAAACCTGAGCATAAATGGGGATGGCAAGAGGAGCATTTCACCCTTAGATTTGTATTTTCCAGCTGAGGTTCATAGGTCACAATGAATAACACTCAAACCATTCAGAAATGTTATTTGGTGTTACATTTTATATAGCTGTAGACAATAAAGATATAGCTATAGGAAGCACTGGATTGGAACCCTTCCCAAATTATGTGGGGTATGGATCGGTATGTGGTTTATTATCTGTACTTCCTCAAAAGTCAAGGAGAGGGTTCTGGATGAGTATGTCAGCTTGTGCCTGTCTATATCCATATCTGTTATACCTATAGCGTCTCAACTTCCTTTAATACATGAAATCAACACTCACTTTTATCATACTGAGCAAAGTGATAGTAAAAGGGCAAGACCTTTGAAACCACAAAAGACCATTCTGAGCTGAACTGTGATGAGTTTATTGCAAGTATCTGCTAAATATTGTATGTAAAAGATTATAAACCCATGGAAAAGGCTACCACAGTGCAGAGAGAAGTGTACTACAGATATTTAACTAATGAAACTGATTACATAAACTGACATGCCTTTTAAAATGGTGAGCAGATTGACATTGCATTTGATTCTGAAGGTGAAATCCTGGGAGTTTTCCCACTGACTTCCATGGGGTCAGGATTTCACCCTAACACTCTAAGGACAGTTAGAAAAATGATTACAGAATTGAATACTGTATTTCCTAATGGGTGCTGACTGTCATCATCTCTGAAAGAGTTCAATAGTCTTTGAGAGTGATCAATATCTTACAGGGTTAGGGTCTAAGAGAGGGATCCAAAGGCCAAGGGGAATCTTTCCACTGACTTCAATGGGTTTTGGATCAGGCCCTGAATACATAGCTCTTCTTATAGTACCATGACTGACCATGAAGACATGCTTTTTTTTTTCATGGTACCGTAGTCAATAGCATGAAATGGTTGATTAATACATGCTAGAAGGCAATATAGTCTAAGGTGGGAGCCAAGTAATTCATGAATACAAAAGCCCAATTCTGACAACAGTTTGCAATGTAGCCTTTGGAAAGCCACTTACTATCTATGTTGTTTCTGTTTTTCTTCCTGTAAAATGGGACTATGAAGGATGGATTTGAGGATCAATTAGTTAATGTTTGTAAAGAGCTTTGAAATAACAAAGCATTTGTTAAGAGTTATATCTTCACTGAACAGCAGTAAAATTCATCACCGCATCCAGTTGTGTTTTTTCCACAAGATTTTGTTCTTGTTTTTTGACAAGAAATTCCTAATGAATATTTGCAACCAGGACTCAGATTTGTCTTCATTGGTTTCACAAAATCCTTCTTTGATCTCTTTTTTTCCTGATGATTCATAAGATAATAGGAGAAAGCTGATTTCATAAATATGGCAGCTGTATGAATTCAGTAAGGAACTGTCCGTTTCACGTACTCATGCGAATATGAGAATTTAAAGTGTTTAACAAAATCAATAGCACTTGAGTGATTGCCTTAAACCAAACATTTTAAAAATCAGTTTCATGACACCATAAAGTGCATTTCTCTGCTAGAGCGCAGTCTGCACACAGATGCATCCCCGAACTCAACGCTCACTTAATTAATGTTAATTACAGGCCCACCAGATCCTGCCGTCTCTCCATTCACAAAACTCCAGCTGTATTCAATGGGAAGTTCTTACCTACAAGGATGGCAGTGTAGGGTCCAAGGAGGAGAATATACTCCAGAGACTGAACCCTCCTTTTAGAGCAATTTAATTCTTTGGGGTTAAATTCCCATTCGGCCAGTCACACTATAGACCCTTCAGGGCACGTTACAGAGTGTGAGGTGTAATCCCTAATTAGAGACTCATAAAAGTGCGTGCTCCACCCAAGAGATTGGAACATCTGCTTTGAAGTTAACACAAGACCTGTTGTGCTAATACTGGGAGCCCAGTTCTCCGTTCCCCACGCCCCCAAACTCCCACTCCTGTGAGTGAGTTAGTGTGTTAGTGCAGGATTGGGTGTGTTTAGACAGTTCAAAAAGGCGTCCAGTCTTCCCTAGTGGCTGTTGTGGCATTATACCCTGCGTCAGAAGTGTTTACTCATGCAGGGGATGGTTGAGTTGCTGGACACACAGCAGCTCGCTCAAATCTGGCCTCTCGATAGACTGTATGGCGAGGTTAGCGTGAAGGAGGCGAGTACATTTATGTTAAAGCGTTTTGTAGAAACGTTCCTTCTCGTGAACAGAATGGTTTTTTCAACATTAAGCATTCAACTTTACAAAGCAATCACCAGTGGCATTGCCAAGCGTGTGGCTTAATCCCCGCAAAACTTCATGTAAAATAGTTGTCAGGTGCAAAAAGCTTCCAGCTCCTTGGTTTGTTTTAAATTGCATCCCTGTAAACCCAGCACAGCCGCGCTCATTTTGTTTAAATGGGAGACAATAAAAATGGGGAGGGGGATAGACTGGCTGTTTGAACGACAGGTTTTAGATTGGAGTCATTTTCTTTTAACAGAGCTGAGTTAAACAATTGAATTTGGGAGCGGAGAGTGAAAATGCTGCTAAGTACCCTGAAGGATGCATTTTCTGTACATGTAGCGCATGAGGTGTTAAAGAATGTAACCGGGAGAAAGCATAAATATCCCAGAGACCCTTGAACTGCACTAATGTCCTTGTACAGACCCATACCCTTAGCTGTGTCCTATAATTTTCATACACTCATCTTACACCTCTCTCTTCTTGAGCTATCCGCGTGCAGTTATTGACCAATCCTCCGTTTCATTTCAGCGCTGTTACGGGTGGGTGTCTGTAAAAAAACCCCAAACAAATAGCTCAGGAAAAGCTTTTTATATATACAGAAAGGAAACCTCTGCTGAATCTAGAAGACCCTAAGGCAAGAAAGTCTATAAAACCACAGTTACTTTGCAGCTTTTATTAAAAATATAAATATTAAACATTCTCTTACACAACAAAATTGACCGAGCGCTGAAAAGATGTTTTATTACGGAAATGGTACAGAAAAAAGTTGAGTCGCAATAGCTTACAGAGATCCCCCCCCACACACAAACACACACCTTTTCCCACAAGAAAAGTATCTCTCTTGTCCAACGGCTTCTTTGAAACCTTTCTTCCGCTGTCCCCCTCCTAAGTAGCGATGTCACTAGAACAACTTTGAAATGGAAAAATAAAGGTGGGAAAGTTACAAATGACACTTTTCTCGTCACTGCACGGGAATACACTGCTGTGCATGCTAACCAAGGGACATGGGCTCTGTTCAGCGTACACCCTCTATGTTTAAAGCTATAGAAAAATAAAGAGATGACATCAGAGCAGCACTATGGTATATAATACTGTATCATTTTGTGCTAACTGCAGAATCTCTTTGGCAAGGCGAGGCCGCTTCATTTCCCGATGATCTCCATCAGTTTCCTGTTGCTGTGAGCCTGCTGCGCTAACTGTTCGGCTCTGGCCATTTCCAAGACTTCTCGGAGGAGGTGGAAAGTCAGATCCAGGGAGATCGGGGGCTCCTCGGATCGCTTCTCCCTCTCCATCGCCTCTCGGGGCAGGCTCTCGGCTTCCCCCTCCCCGGGGCCCGCCGCACTCTCTAGCGAGCGCTCGGGGAGCTGCTGCAGCTGTTGCACCGCTGCTCGGAAAAAGTTGGTGGCGGGGGCGCCGGGCGGTAGGCGGCTGCTGCTGCTGGAGGCGAAGAAGGAGGCGGCGGGGCTCTTGTTGAGGTTGCCCAGCCGCAGGAAATACTCTTCTCCCATGCGGAGCAGCACGGGCAGGCTCGGCGGCGGCTGGAGGAAATCGGGCGGCAGGGGAGCGCCGGCGGCGGCGGGGGGGCTCTTGCCGAGGGCTCTGCATTCATGGTAGGGCAGGAGAGCAACCAGCAGGATCCCTGTGGAGACCAACAGCTGGAGCTTCATGATCAACGCCCGGATCTGCAACTGGGGACAGAAGCGGGGGGAGGAGGGAGGGGAAGGCGCGGGACGGGGAGAGAAAACCTGCCGCGTTGGAGTTAGACGGTCGGGACAGGGGCGCTCGAAGCCCGGGCGGTGCGGCTGGCTGCCGGCCGACCCCAGGGAGGGAGCTGCTCGAGCCGCTGTCCGAGGTGCTGAATGGATCAGCCGCCTCCGGCGCCCCCCAGTCTCTGGCCCTGCCCCAGGCGCGGGGGAGATGTTTCCTTCTCCGGCTGGTTTACAGCGCTGCCCCGGCGTTTCAGAGGCGCTGAAAGGAGCAAGCCCCCGACGGGCCCAGGCTCTGGCTACAGAGGAGAAAGCCCCGGCGCTGTACCACGGCCAGCAACCGAGGGACGACAGCCAGCTGGTGCTGGGCAGGGAGCAAGTGTCCCGTTTAAAGACGTACAGCGGCTTGGCTGCTTCCCAGGCAATATTACACCCGGCCCCGAGGTCATTGCTCCCTCCCGCGGGACCCCCACGGAGCTGGTTAGCCAGGCTCGTTGGAAGTATCTGAAGCCATTCGCCCCCCAGCCACGGGTTTGTCAGTCCGAGCAGCACAGCTGCACCCGGGCAGGCAGAAGTTTGCTCGGTTGCGGCTCACGCCGGTGATCGCTGCCTACCTTAGAGATGCCGCTGCCGGTTCGTAGGGCAGGTGGAGTCTGTCCGGACTGGGGGCTTGCCGAGGTCCCGCTGTCACTCTGTCCGCGCCGTCTCGTCCCCAACTTGTGATCAGATTTTCTCCTAATCAGAGCCCGGGTGCGTGATTTTTATAGCATAGACCCTCTTCTGGAATCACGCAGCACTTGCCTAATAAGCTGACGCTTTCTTGACAGCTCGATTGCGTGCCCCGATCCACTGCTGAATAAATCATGGGGGCCCTTTCGGAGCAGCAATGGGCAGAGTTTTGCTATCACAACACAGAATCTCACATCCAATTATATCAACAGATATTTATCGCCTCGTTAGTGACGTCAGCCGGAGCTGGGTCGGGGGAGTTGAGCAGGGCGCTCTCCCATTGACAAAAATCCTTGAATGAGATTTCCCAACGGGAGCGGAAAGCAACAGCGACCGACTTCTTACTATGAAAGACCAAGCGGGTAGAAAACTTTCCACTCTAGTCCCGCATGAGAGGTACCTGCTGTCAACCCGGATCCAGAGCCGGGCAAGGCTGCTAATCAGATTCAGAGATTGCAACCTGGCTTTGTCAACCTCCCGAGCCCTTCCCGAGCGAGTTTATAGTCAGAATGATGAACTAGAGACAGAGTTTGTTCTAATGCCAACGCATCTCATCTCCATTACCAAGTTATATGTAAAAAGCAACAAAGAGTCCCGTGGCACCTTAAAGACTAACAGATGTATTGGAGCATAAGCTTTCGTGGGTGAATGTATATGTAAGAACACACAAGAACAAAAAGTAAAACACCCCCATAGAAAAATCCCGATAAAGGACCCTGACGCGATATTTTACCAAGAAGATTTCCCATCACTGTCTTGATGAGAGGTGCTAATCTCCAGTTGAATATCTTAACACACTTAAGTACTCCTGTTCTTTTAACACACTTAGCTGTTCTGAACATTTAATAATTGGTAACATACACTCAAGTTAAATTTCCAGTAAAGCGGTAGGTAAAATCCAGCCAATGAGAGTCACGTACTAATGTGTTTTTATGGGAAACCTACTGTTTGAAAACACATAAGCGACATCAAACTGTGATACACAAGATCTGTTGTCGGGGGTGTCAGGTTTGCTGGTGTCTGTGTTTGCAAGTCGTAGGGCTAACGTTACCGCTCCAGGGCGCTTACTGTTAGAGAAATCAACGTGTGCATTTGAAATTAACTTGAGACGATCAGATGGGTGGCAGGTAGGAAGTGTTATAACTAAGTCTGTTGAAGTGTCTCACTCAAAACCCCCCTGCAAACGCGACAGTTGCCATTAGGTTGTACATTAACCGTGTGATCCGAATTTCTGTATTAACAGTGAGTCAATCAACCTACATATAACGATCGGGATTTATTGGAAACTTCCCCTTTTCTCATCCCTTGTTTTCTGCTTCATCGGTGAGCTGTTACACGCCTTGCAATCTATCTGCAGAGTCTCCTCCTGTGTATACCACGCTGACATTATTTTCCTATTGAAAAAATGTTGGCACTTTCACGAGACCCTTGGTTTTGCCGTCTAGAAATTAAAAGCACACGAGTGAATGGCTGTTAAAACGCATTCAATGGCATTTGAGGGCAGTTGTCTGCATGAAAATGATACTATTGTGTTTGATGATACACTTGTTTCTTTGCTGCGCGGTAATCAAAAGAGCTCTTCAAGCCTTTATGCAGTTGATCAGAACTCAGGCGGGCTCCGAGGAAGGGCTGTGAAGGGGTGCAGGGTACGTTTCATCGCAGGCACTGCCGCGAGCGGGATGCTGCTGTAATGCTTCAAACAAAAACTAGAGACCCATGAATTTATGGTAAGAAAAAGAAGAAGCCTCGATAAACTCGGGCTTAAATGATGCAGTTGATTAACTGTTGCTCAGACAGAAACGGCTTGGGATGTGGAGGTTTTTCACCCTTAGTTCATGACAAATAACGTCGTTTTAATGGATTAAACAATAAAATTATTTAGATGTATAACAAAAAAGGGGGGTAACGTGCTCTAGGCATCATTGTAAAACTTCAGTAACAATGGAAACCGTAACCACACACGCCCCTTCTAAAAGTCAATTTAATGTTATTATTGTAGCACGTCAATACTGGGTAGTGTCAGATACCATCCCCCTGGGGGAAAGTGATTTCAGTCCCGAGTCAGTGAGTTCTTTCAATCCCCCGGTGTATTATTTTTTTTATTGTGTTTGTATTACTGTAGCACTTAGGAGTCCTAGTCATGAACCAGCACCTCATTGTGCTAGGCGCTGTACAAAGACTGTAGAAAAGGAAGACTGGATTCTCTAAGAGCCAAAAATCTAATCTGAATACATCTTATGCTGGTGAAATTACAACTAATATTAAAGTGCATATCACTATATTAAGATTATATTAAAGGAGAACTTTCATATTGCAGCAATTTTGGGAAAATAGATCACTGACTCAAAAAGATACTGGCAAATATTTTTCTGAGTTCCTGGTGTTGGTTCACCTACTTCCTCACAGATGGAATTCTCTTTTTGCATGATCCTGCAGCAACAAAACTTGCTCTTATGGAAATGTGTGCAATTCATTTGTGATATCAGCTTGGGTCAAATTCTGATCTCATTTACATTAATTCAGTCCCCACTGACAACACACTTTGGCCCTATCAGGATCCCATTGGAGGTGCAGTAGGGCTGCAAGAGACTTAAATACAAGGGACCAAATGCTGCCCTCTAAACTGTGTGGAGAACCCCACTGATATCAGTGCATATTTGAGGGCAAAACTTGCCCCAAATACTGTAGCTTTATTGGGCTCCAGTGCAGGAAAGCCCTTAAGCAGTTGCTTTTCTGACTCAAGGTCGTAATTAGCAATGGAGGTAGGAACATCATGAAAAACATCTGAATGGTAAATGGATTTAAGTTTCCAGTTGGATGTATGAAAAAGCCTAGCTATGAGGCATAAACATACCAAAAGAAAGCAAGTTTTGATGGTGTAAGTTGGCACAGCTCCATTAACGTCAATTGCACTATGCTGATTTCCACCAGCTGATGATCTAGCCTTCAGAGTTTAGAATTCCACTGACTGCAGCTTCAAACCCATTACCCTCTAGAGGAACATGCCTGAACTTTGCAGGTGTTTGAAATCCAAACTCAGACCTGAATTCAAATTTCACAAGTGGACCTTACCTTTATAAAGGGTAGAACCAAAACCCCACCCCACATCCAAGACATTTTTGTTGGTTCAAACTGCTGATCAGATCTTGGGCCCTTCCATAATTATAGTTCAGAATTGCAACTTGACCTTAGGTATTGCAACTTGCCAGCCCTCTGTCTTTGTTTATCTTGTGTAGATTGTAAGCTCTTTGAGGCAAGGCCTGTCTCTTCCTGTATGTTTGGCTGGCATCTAGCACAGTCTTGCCCCCAATCTTAGTTGCCCCCCTATATATTACTATTAATAACTCATATAAACATTTATGAGAGTTTCATAACAATAGGAATATCTTGCCCCAAAAGTAAGTTTGTAAAATAATAAGCAATGCACAGAATTGTTATATGAGGTCAGATCCAGCAAGAAGCGGAACATCTTCTGAAAGGCATTACACATCCTTAGCTCCCATTGTGTCTATCCACTAAGCTATTTTTCAAAATGTATATAATAAACAACTGGAAAAACAGAAATAACAACATAACACAGGCAATTTTGCATGCCCATTAATGTGTGTTAACTCAGGCAGTCATGAATTGAAACACATATTATGACGAAAACAGAAAGGCACACATCTTGTAAATAGAAGAGAAGCTATTTGGATGTTTTTATAGTATGCTAGCACAACCTACACTGATGTTTGCAAGTGGTTCACAGAAACAGGAGCTAAGTTTGATCAAATGATAGCGGATGTAAGACGCACTCTTTAAAATGGACTCTAGATGCAAGCTGGGGTGTTTGTTGTCATAACATCACCATTTTCAGTCTGTGATATATTTGAAAAGGACATGAAGCCTATTATAGTGTGATCACAGAACTAAAGGAGATGAAGTGCTGATATGAATGAGGTTCCAAGTACAATGGATGAGCTCCAATGGAATTATGCAAATTGAAACCAGCTCAAGATCTGACCCAATAGATTTTATATTTGATATCTTTTAAGTTAGATATTGCAGCCAATGTTATCCCCCTGCCCCTCATAAGAATGCTAGTGACAGTGAAAATAGCAGGTAGATTGGGAAAGGTTGCTCAATTTTGGCATAAGCCTGCACCTTGCAAGCGTACTGCACCTTGGCATGCTCTTTAGATCAGCGATTCTCAACTGGGGGTACATATACCGCTCGGGGTACACAGAGGTCTT